CCGTCGCACACCGCCTTGCCGGACTCGCCAGAAGCCACCGTCGTCGACCGTCGGTTTTCGCTCAGTTTTAGGTATAAAACCGTTTGGTTTTTTTAGGGTTAGATCGATTTTCCCCGGTTTTCTCCGAGCGGTGCTATTTAGCGGACGTTCGCCCGAACGCCTCTGTTCGCGAACGCGTTCGTTTGTTTGTCTCTGATAACAAACGTTCGTTCATTTGTCTTTTTCTTTTATTTTATTTTTTCAGCCAGGGACCTATCCACGATTACTTTTATAGCAGATTAGCCCCTGATCTTCAAACCCTCGCAACTCTTTAACCGTTCGTCCAAATCCAATGAAACCAACGCCAAAATATTCGTCTCGAACCCCTCTTTCCAGTTAAACAACTTGAATATGGTTTTGACAATTTAAAATTTGGTTGCAAGCATATTTGAATTCGAACTTCTTTTGATCGTAGTTTGAGTTTCGTAGCTTCGATTTAAGTATTTCTTTTTGCAAATCGAAGCACTTCAGTTGAACTTTCAGTTTGGACCTTTTCATCTGAGTTTTACCCTTGCATATATGCTTGAGTGCTTATGTATGCTATGTTTGTTTGCGATAGAATTTCCGAAGTGCGAAGCATGCTACTATGAGTCTCTAGGGTTTACGGATCATCAGCAAGGCAAGTAACACTTTGATCATACCCCTTTTATTACCCAGTTTTTATGCATTAGTTTCAACCCTCAAACATTGCATGATTAGGATTGTTAACATGTGGGTATTGGGAAGTAGATGATAAGGTAGAACCTATTGTCCTTTTTATCAAACCCCGGGAGTTACTTCTGCATTATGCTTATACTGCTATGTGATGCTTGTAGACATGGATTGGTCGAGTGTATCCATGACAGATGTGAGAGTATTATTAATGGTTAACTTAAGGTGGCTACTTTAATACAAATCTGGGTGGATTGGTTGAGGCACCCTGGAGTACCCAGTGATTGTCTGGGCACCTGGAGCAATCCAGCACTGTCCTGGGATATCCCAGAGTACCCGTGTGATCATCCTACGGTTTGCCACCCAGGCTCAAAGGGGTCATAAGATTATTCATGCTGGAAACTTTCGTGTGCAGACACAAGCCATTATGGGCTCTGGCATAGTTGAGTAAGTTGTGGGAATCCTTTCCATGATGGGCTAGCAGATGTAGGGGATTGTAGGTGTACCGGCCTATCTATCGGTTAAGGGGACTTCTTCGGAAAGACTGTGTCTCGGTCATCCGTCTCTCAAACACCATGAAGTGCGAGAAATCCAACGGAGGAGATCGAGTCTTGTGGGGAAAAGTGCACAAACCTCTGCAGAGTGTATAAATTAATCATGATTAGCCGTGTCCTCGGTTATGGACATCTTGAGTATCTGGTACTTGAATTATTGATTTGATCTCATATCTCTTAATTAATTATGTTGGGTTGTTAATTACTTTTAACTGGGATTGAGTTGGAGGAACCTTCTCAATGTTTATCAACTACCATGGTAGCTAAACAAATTGTGTTCCTTTATTGTAGAGAAAAATTGGCTTTTCGCAAAAACATGATAACCGTAGAGCCTCCACCAGCCATATATGCATATAGTTATAACTGTTTCATGTTCATTGCTCTATAGTGTTATTTTGCCAGTATATTCCATGTGCTGACCCGTTTTCGGGCTGCAACGTATTATGTTGCAGACTTTTCAGACGAAGATTAAGATGTGCTAGGTCATTGTTGTGCACTCAGCTATGCCGTTGGAGTTGATGGACTCACTTTATCTTCCAAGCATTTCGTTGTTATCTTATTTAGATGGCCTTCAGCCATATTATTGTAATAAGTTCTCTTTTGAGACATTCAATGTAATAAGTGTGTGATTGCACTTTGTTATAAATCTTTTGAGTACTGTGTGTGTCAGCATTACCGATCCAAGGATGACACTTATGCATAGAGATTTGATCGTATGAGGTCGGATTGCTACAGTACTCAATTGAGCCGGCCTCGGGGCACTAGCCTGCATCATCGATATAGAGCTTGCCGCGGCGACTCTTGTTCATCCGGCCCACAGCGTATCCCTTGATCCCTTTAAAGTTGCCCTTTAAGAACTCGAAACCACCGTGCGCTGGCCTCACGGTGGGCGCCAACTGTCGTGGAATTGTCACCGCAGATGTCCTAGCAAGAGGACTTAGTCGTAGAGCCATCGCGACAGGGTTAGCTTAAAGGGGTTAAACGGGACAAAGGACACAGGGAGTTTATACTGGTTCGACCCCTTGCGGTGAAGGTAAAGGCCTAATCCAGATTGAAGTGGTATTGCTTATGTATCGATTACCAGGGAGCAAATACGCTTGATCTAGCTTTCGATCTGTTGTCTCTTGCCCTAAACCGCCGCAGGGTCGTCCCTTTATATACTCAGGTTGACGCCCTGTGGCTTACAGAGTCCCGGCCGGTTCATAACAATGTGTCCGGCTCGGTAACTAAGTACACATGCCTTACAATACAAGTCATACATATATGGTGGTTTGCACCTATGGGCCTTAAGCCGTCTTTGGGCCTTGGGCTCTTAGTAAGTCATCTTTATGAACCGCCATCTTCAATACCTTCATGGGCTTCAATATAGTGAACCGCCGTTGGTATAACTAGGCCCCTCCTGGGTGGGTCATACCTGTGTCTAGGCACATGTGAATAAGTATCTAAGAAATATTCGCTTTCCTTCTGGGTATATCTCTTGGCCACAAGACTAGCTTTGTACTTGCAGAGCCTAAACTCCCTTTTTAACGCCCACGTACATTCTACAGGTTTGCAATCATATGGACCATCTCGCTACTTACAGGTTCATTCAAGTAGTCGGCATCTGGGGATGCATAAGCTTCTGGAATATAATTGGGGCTGTCATCGACGAGGTATATAATGAAATCATCACTAAAAGACCTTGCAATCCTCTATAACTTGCTCCTAGTAGGAGCTTCATTGTCTTATTCCACATGATTTTCACCAGTGTTTGTTCATAATATTTCATCAAAATGGCATGTTCAGAAGTCTCATCAGATTCATGTTCTCATATGTTTACCAAACGATCTAAACTTATTGATTAAGAAAGAAAATCACATCAGGGTGAACATACCGGCACAAAAAGAATAACAATCATATGTGAGAAAACTAAAAATTACATCAAGTTTCTACGGTGTCGTTGCCTCGAGCTTCATGTCTTGCAAGTCAACGCTCCACCATAACTCCAGTGAAGAAACCACATAAGACCGAATTTGCACAAACTAGACTAACCTCAAAGGTTTTGGAAAACCACGCGAGCCATCCATCAATAGGTGAGAACCTGGTATCACTGAACATGGTGTGACTGCAGATACACCCCTTGGAAGGCAAATTTTCAAACCACTACATTCAATTGCGTTCTTTTAGGGAAGAAGACCAAAAGCATATAAAAGCTGAAAGTGACAAACACCTAACCACACCACACTTGACACCATCGTTTCAACCACAAACGGCAAACATGTCAAGCATCGAACAACAAACCACATGATGGAGAATCATTAATCCGCGGGCCTTAAACACTGCATCCTCTCCGGTATCGGCTTTGTCAGCCACAAAGCCGCACCAGAACTGGAGTAGAACGGTGGAGCCTTTATTCCATGCAACAATGTCTTTATGGTCGAGATGTCGTCGCCAAAGCGCCAAAGACACAAACTTGTGAAACTAAGACTTCAACTTGATCATTGGTTCCCCTCGTCTTCTGATGTCAGAGAAACAACCAGAGATGAGGGGAACCAGTGGAAACACAGTGGTTGAGAGCTACCATCGTAACGTTGGTGGATCTACAGTCGTGCACCCGTATATACCACCAAGATTCACAGCTAATTTCATCTCTCTATTTACATGGTCAATTCTCCTTTTCCTGAATAGCATCCCTGATCAGCTTTCTACTTGCTGGAGGCCAGAATTCCACACATCCAAGTCAGAAAGAAAAAATTATCTCAACCCCAATGAACAATTTGTCACCAAGTGCATATCAACAGTTTAAGTACCACCACATATAGAAAAATAGCCTTTTTCGATAAAGGATATTTCACTCAACTGAAGCAAGAAAATTAAGCTAAAATGAGTGAACAAAGGAGTGACAAGAGTTGCAAAGTTTTATCAAGGCCCATCTCAGATTTTCAGGTAATAAACCGAAATACGAGCCAAGCTTCAACTCTCGTGCACATTAGATAAACCACCAATTCCAACAAACCACATTCCAGGAGAAGAGCTCAAAAATACCATATCTTTACTGATAAGCAATTATTGATGAACGTCGTCGGGCTAACATTGCTTATTGTTATAGGACAGTAGAGAAGCACTGTAGCCGGACATTGCTAAGAATTGCACGACAATTCCAATATGTGCCATGAAGTTATATACATTATAGTACTCTGCTATGCAATAACAGAACCAAAAGAAGGGTTCAAAGTGTAAATTCAAGATTACAGTGGAATGATAAAGACAAGATCACTAGATTAGTATATCAAGAAATGCTATTTAACCCTGAAAAGCTGGAGGAGCCTCCTGACTCAACAAAGCCACGAACTGAAAGTTCAGGAGCAGAAGCATTCCCCTCCTGCAGTAGCCCATGATCAATGAAAACTACAACAACTGTGATGTCATCATGGAAGAATCGACGGACCCCTTTCTCTAGTTTCGTAATATCGTTGTACCTCATTTCCCTCTTCCGTGCAGCTTCTTTCAAAGCTGCTTTGATCAGCCTCCTTGCAATACCCTGCAAAAGAAGAAAAGCAGAATTTAGACAGCAGCACAGAAAAAACTGCTTATTCATAAGCAAAGTTTCCCCAAAATAATATTACAGGTCCATCCAGAAAAGCAAAGACAGAGGGTGAAATGATGAAGAACGTACTTCACGTGAATTGTTGTGCACGATTTCGACGGCTTGCTGGTTCGTAAGGTGCTCCCACAATCCATCCGACGCAAAGATAACAAAACTATCTTGTGGACGAATAAGTCTCGTACTTATTGATGGCTCGGAAGTTAGAACAGGCCGTCGGAGAGGCTCGGAGAGATGGAATCGAGTTATGGACGGATCAACAGCGAATTCTTGCTTCTTTAAATATGCATCACCTATAGACCTTGAAACCTAAGGGCGAATCAGACGAATGTTCCGAAGAAGAATAATTCAGAAGATTTAATAACAGTCCTAGATGACATAACATATTTTCCAATAAAAACACCTGAACATAGTGATACAACCCTGCACCTAGTGACCACCTGTTTGTCGTCAGATACATATACTAAATTAATTACTATTTACTGTTCCTTGAGAGATATGCTACTAAAAATAGAAGGTTGGTCATCTTCTTCCACAACAAAAGTATAAAGTTAGTACTCCTGTATGTTTACCCAGGCTTCATAAATACAGGGCTCGTGATAAAAGGTCTGTATTGTATACCTGTATAATGCCTTTGATGCGCCAGACACCATTTTTCAGGACAACAATCTGTGAATCATCAGGATGAAGAGATTTAAGCTCCTGCCTCACTTCCTCGATGCTTGCGTTGTGGTCTCTCGTTAGCTGCTCGGCAACAATCTTGTTTGATCCAACTAAACAGCCGACAACCGCCCGAGAATCGCCAAGATTGGCCAGGTACAGTGTTTTTCTCCATATGACACCAACCAGACAGCAAGATCCGATGGCAGCTATAGAAGGTTTTATCAGGTGTGTCCTGCGCACAAGCGACAGGAAGCCTTCCTCTGTAGCAGAAAAGGCATTTCGGACAACATTCTCAGATACTGCTCCGCTTTCTTGGGCAAGACCTGTAATAACAACAGTTTCCATTAAAAATGGGTAAACAGTTTAATGAAAAAAATCTTTGTTATTACAGTACTCCTACTAATTAACACTAATAATAGTCAGGAAGGTGAATCAGGATATGTGAGGTGCAGCAATCATCAAAGGAAGTAAGATAAAAGTGAAACCCAGTTGGACAAATGGTATTTCAAAATTCCATTCGTCTTTACAGTGGCACAGATAAAAATAGCTACTCCTAGATCATGTTGTACTGAGGCTCTCGCTGGGACATTGATAAAAAACTCTGCTCGCAGACAAAATAGCTACTGGCAGCTAGTAGTACGTACTCTCTCCGTCCGAAAATACTTGTCATCAAAATAAATAAAAGGGATGTATCTAGATGTATTTAGTTTTAGATACACTCATTTTTGTCCATTTTGATGACAAGTATTTTCGGACGGAGGGAGTATAAATCAAGGAAAATCCTCGAGAAAAAAATGCAAGTTGTGTTACTGCATAGTGCATATTGCTTAGGCAATTCTGAGGGGGGGAAACAACTGCTACCAATTTGTAAGCTAGCGAACAGCACAAGTACAGTGGCAAAAACATAGCTGAAATAAATGGGGTGGAAGGAAGGGGACAGTACGTACGGACGAGGTGCGCGGAGAGGTGGTTGGATATGAAGCGGGAGGCCTCGGCGCCGCCGTGGCCGTCGTAGACGCCGACGAAGGTGGCGGCGGCGCCGGTCTCGACCTGGCTGTAGTCCTCCAGCACCTCGTTGGCCTGCACGACGGCGAAGGAGAAGTCCCCCGCCGCGTGGCGCCCGAGGTCCCGCGACCAGAGCAGCAGGTCGTCGGCGTCGGCGCCGCTGCCGCTGCCGCCGTCCTCATCCCTCCTCGTACTCGTAGGCGCGTACCTCCGGACCCGGTCCCAGCACGCGGACGCAATCTTCTCCAGCCACGGCCACATCCCACATTTGGCTCGCCCCGGTGCCCAAGAGAAGAGAGCTAGCCCCGAACACGTCGACGCAGTTGCTTGAAGCTCTGACCTGAGCTGCCTACTGCCCCATCACAGATCACAAAGCCAGGTCACCCCTTCCCTTGTGCCTACGTACCGAGAAGGTGGGAGCAGTGGAATATTACTACCAGAGTGCACTCCGGTGCTGCGTGTGCGTGGTGTGGGGGCCCCGTGGCGACCATTATATAGGCTTTTTCCCGGAGATGAGCCTGTGAATTTCAGGTACCTGCCGGAGACCTATCATGGAAAAAGCGCGAAAGGGCAAAAAAGCGCAGCTCCGGTAGTGATGGTTTTCAGGTACTTGCCGGAAGGCTTTGACTTTTTGCAGCTGCATTCCCTTTCTCGCTTCCCTCTCCGGCGAGGACTCCTATCGTTTAGGGAAGGGGTCATGTGATCTTCTCCAGATAATGGTACGTAAAGCGAGATTGCAGCGGCGGACAGCCCGAGCCCGGGGGCGTAAAGGGGTCGCCGGACAGCTACGCCGACCCAACCCAACCGTGCACCGGCTACCGTCCCGATCTCCGGGAAGCGATCGATGGAGAAGAAAAGCCCTTGCAGAAATCACATAAAATGACCAAATGCACGCACGGACGCACTGTACTGTTATAAGTATCGTAAGCAAACGATAGCACGTCCCGCTTTACAGATCAGAAAGCGCACTCCTGTGTGCAAGAAAAAGCGCGGGAGAAGCCGTCCGTGGGCGCTGACAGATGAGTCGAGCGAGCACTCGAGTCGAGCAGTTGGCGCGCATCACCGGGAACCTGTGACACCGCGCGCTCGCGGACCGTCTCGTTAGCTGTACGCCGGTCAGAGCTCTAGTCTAGTGGAGGCGCTTGCGGTACGGCTGATGTCTAAGCCAACGTTGGCATCGCGGCGATCGGTCCTGGACCCGATCCATCCATCCATGATACGTATCGCGCGCTGCCGAGAGAAGAGGAGAGATCGGACCGTACTGCACGCACAGGCTTGTGAATGTGATTTTCAGATAAGACTTGAATGCAAAGGGCACTGGCCTAGCCTAGTAGATGAATGCAACGTGCACCAGATGGCATGGGCCGCTGCGCCTCCCGTCAGCGGAAAACAGCCGGCGCTCGCCTGTGTGCCAAGCGATCCGGCCAGCGCCCTCGCAGCAACCCCTAGCTTGACTTTACCGGTCTCCAGAAACGACGTTCATGCATGTATCTGATGCAAGCTCTGGCTTTTGCGTGCTCTCTTTTAGGTAGGGTTGGTCGCGCTTTCCCCGGTGGCGGACGGACGGAGAAGCGGACCCGCTGATGATGATAAGAGTGGAAGCACATCATCGATCCATCCTTCTCCTGTAGCCCGGTAGTACGACGGATCAACGGTGTGTATGCACCGTGTGTTGACATACACTATTGCAGGTGGAGGGGATTGGAAATGGACGTGATCGACTCACAAGTCACCAACGTCTCCTAGGCTATGTTCAAAGAAAGAAAGAAAAAATGTCTCGTAGGCTTTTCAGACTACATGGTTCTTACGCAAACGCTTATATATACACGCATACACTCACTCCTATAAACACATACACGCACACCCTGTCCCTATGAACACCTCCGAGAAACTGAGCCAGCATATCATTTTGAGATTTTACGAAGACGCCACCTCAGAGTCGACGGGAATGTCTCCTCCCACTAAACGCGCATCGCCGGAAATCCTAAAATAAATTCAGAATAAATATGAGCACCGAGACTTGAACCCTGATGGGCTGGGCCACTGGCCACCTAATCATCCAACCACAGGTTACTTCGCTACTACATGGTTTTCTTTGAGGGCTGGTGTAATCGTGCATGTACACACTGTGGCTTGCTTGTAAATTTAGATGAAGAGGAAAAGAAACTATTGGGATGACTAATCTCACTTTATCTCTTATTAATAATAATTGATTGACTTTCTTCACCATGCTTGGCTATCATGAAACTATTTGAAGCCCTACTGCATTCTACTCCCTCCGTTCCATAATATAAAATGTTTATGCAAGCTATGAGACGAAGGGAGTATTTTTTTTTATATGCACACCTTTTTTTAAACGGGGGCAAAAGATATGCCTTGTCCATTAATTAAATGGTATTGCTATGTGATTTAAGGAAGTCTCAGTCAACTTCACAACCGTTGGATAAACTACGAGGAGATGCGTACTGGTTTGGGCACGGTTCTGTTTCAGGTTACGTGTATGGGTAAGCGATTCAAATAGGGGCAGTGATATGTCTCGCTTATAGCAAGACCTAGCGTGCTCTCGTGTGAGGCGCCTCCGTAAATGGGCCGGTCCAGGTGCGCGGGACGCCATGGCCTCGTTTTTTCTGGGTTTTTCTTTATTTCTTTCTTACTTTAGGTTATACTACCAAAAATTCTAAATAAACATATTACAAAAACACTTTTCATAAAACATTTGAAAAAGTTGTTCAACAAGCATTTGAAAATTATATAATGTGTATAAATAAAATATTTCTCATGTATACGAAAAATCTATACAAAAAATATACAATATGTTTGAAAAAAGTTGATAATGTACTCCCTCCGTCCCAAAATAAGTGTCTTGACCTTACTACAACTTTGTACTAACTTTAAGTTGAGAAACTTATTTTGGGATGGAGGGAGTATTTAACAAACGTTAATCAAAAATTTGAAAAAAGAAGTTAAACAACCATTTGAAAAATGTTAATCAAGCAATTCAAAATGTTAAATGTGTATAGAAAAAATGTTGATGTATCCAAAAAGTCAAACTTTGTATTTAAAATATGTTACTCAAGCATTTGAAAATATTAAAATGTGTACAAAAATGTTGAACATGTACAAAAAAATATTAATCTTGTATATGAAAAATGATAATCAAGCATTTGAAAATTTTGTATAGAAAACATGTTGATAATGTATTAAAAATGTAAATCAAGCATTTCAAAAATGTGAAATGTGTACAAAGAACATGCATCTCAAGTATATGAAAAATGTATACAAAAAAACATACAATGTGTCTGAAAAGGTTGATCATATAGTTATAAAATCTTAAACAAGCATTTGAGAAAATGTTAAACAAGTATTAGAAAAATGTTAAACAAGTATTAACAAGATGTTAATCAAGCATTTGAAAAGTGTTAAATGTTATAGAAAAAATATTGACGATGTATTAAAAAATAGTAATATTTTATTTGAAAAATATTAATCAAATATTTTATAATGATAGAGTTTGTATAGAAAAAATATTGACCATGTATTAAAAAATTTAATATTGTGTTTAGCAAAATATTGAACAAGTGTTTGAAAAATGTTAAAAGTGTGTGTAAAAAATATTTACCATGTATTTAAAAATATTTTTGACGCACACGAAATATATAGAATGAAAATCAAAAGAAAAAAAGAAAAATGAAAAAAAATCAAACCAAAAAAGAAACCAAAGAGCAAGGGTAACAAAAAAGGAAATGAAGGAGACAAGTGAAAGAGAATGAAAAAACAGTGAATACAGAGAAAAAAAAGCCAATGAAAAACAAGAGAGATACAAAAAGAAACCAAAGAAGAAGAAATGAAAAAGTGAAAAGCACGAAAGAAACAAAACAAATGAAAGGAAAGCATGAAAGAAACAAAAATAAAAGAAAACC